GAAAGAAAGACAGAAAGAAAGAAAGAAAGAAAGAAAGAAAGAAAGAACAGAATAGGTGTGACTCAGAATCCAGGTATCAAGCAGGATCAGACAGGGCAATATTACCAAATCTTAAGGAGCCTTTTCATGAAATTATGTCTTTTTATGAAACCATCTTTGGTAAATTGTGTTATCCTGGAAGCACATTCCAGGCCAGAGGTTCTTTGGGGCTAGATCAAAAGCCCAGGAAGAATGAGGAACTTACCTGGGCTAAATTAATATCTAGCCCAGAGGAGGGGCAGACTCATTGGCACCAGGGATCAGGAAAGACTGGAAGCAGAACTCGAAATCAAATCTGGAATTGCCAAGAAAGAGCAGACAAAACAAAATCTAAGGCCAGGCATTGAGGTGGCACAAGCCTTGAGGGGGGGAGCACAGAGCAGGGTCCAAGTTGAAGATGGGTGTTCAGAACCAGGGGAGCCAACTGATGTTTACAGAGTAAGCAAAATGCTGGAACAGTGGCTGCCTCTTGCTTGGGCGGCGGGGGCGGGGGGGGGGGGTTGTCGCTGGCTGGGAAGAAACAGGATGGGACTTTCTGAAAGATAGAGATAAACGTTCTGTACCTTAAAAAAAAAAGTATGGGTTATGCAGGTATATCCATTTGTCCAAAGTCATTGAATTGTAGACTTGGGATTTGTGCACTTCAATGTATGTAAGTTTTACCCCCCCAGATTGTAAACAACTTGAACTCTCATTAGGTTTACTTTTAATGGTACTATGGATTAGCAGTTCTGAAACTACAATCTGTGTATTCTTGAGGTTGAGGTTAATATTTCTAAGCATTGGGGAAAGAAATTACAAATTTGGAAAAGGTGTTTGTTGCATCGAAATTGGAGTTATTGGTATAACTATATATTATGGCATATCTATAGATATATAAATATATGTATATATATATCTCCAACATATTTCTAATATATATCTATGCCTCTATATGTATCTATTTCTTTTTTTTAAGATTTTATTTATTTATTTGACACAGAGAGAGAGCGTGCAAGCAGGTAGAGCGGCAGACAAGAGGGACAGGGAGAAGCAGACTCCCCGCTGAGCTGGGAGCCCGACGCGGAACTCGATCCCAGGATCCTGGGATCGTGACCCGAGCCAAAGGCAGACACGTAACCAACTGAGCCACCCGGGCACCTCTATATGTATCTATTTTTGTTTGTATATGTAATATTACCTAATTCTGGCTGCTAAGAGGGCCCAGAAGCAGTGACACACCAGTAGGAATGAGCATATTTAGCACCCAGATCTTGGTTTCTAAATACCATTACCCACTAAAGGAACCAGGAATTCTTGAGAAATGGCTTATTCTGTGTCTGGGGGCAGGA